CGGGGAAGGTTTAGAAACCTCCTCAGAGGGCCCGGGACCCTCCGAGCCTTCCGAGAAGGCCTTCTCCTTCTCGCTTCCCCCCTGGGCTCGCCGCCGACTGGAGTAGAGCCCTGCGTACGAGAACGACGAGCCGCCCACGGCCAGAACCAGGAGGACCACAGGCAGCGGCGAGCCCTCCCCCGCCACGCTGGGGCCGACGAGGCCCAGGGCACCCAGGCACAGCCCTGGCACGCCGAAGGCGGTCGCCTGGCACGCCTTGCGCACGTCTGTCAGGGCCCAGCCGTCGGACCGGAGCCCGTCCGCCAGGGACCCGGCGAGGGCCGCGCAGGCGATGCCGAAGACGCTGGCAGAGGAGCGAGAAAAACGGCAAAAGCATAGACCTGCGGAGGTCCGCGCGGAGCTTCTGGACCGGAGCCAGCGACGATCCCACAAATCGGCGCGGACCTCCGCGAGCTCCACGCCAGTGCCGTTCTTACGGCTCCTCGAGCTGGGCACCGTGGTCAGCAGCGCGCTGCCCTGCAGGTCGTACCCCAGCTCGCGGTTCAGGTACGTCGGCAGCCAGGTGAGGAGCCCGAACATGCCCCAGTTGTTGCAGAGGGGGCCGGGCGCGGGCCGGAGCGACCCCGGACCTCCGAGCGCTCCCGGCCGCAGGAGGGCCGCTCGGGAGAGGCTCCTCCCGCCCCCCGGCACCTGGCCGCCCGAAGCAAGTCAGAATGAGGGGGCAGAACAAGGTCTTACACTGTCCTTGGGTGCGTGGCTGAACCCTGAGATCCTGGCGACTCAATTTTTTCGAGCCGGACGTTTTCGCCTTTTTGTCGGGTCCCAGGACCCTCACAGGTCGATCCGGCTCGAAACATGACGCAGAAAGATGGGGCCCGGGGCTCCGGGCGCGGCTTTTCACGGTGTTGCAATTTTTTCGCCACGTCGGACCTCAGGGAAGTGGGGATCCGCGGTCCAAAATATTGCTGCTGTTGGCTTGCTGTCGTCACTGTCGCCGTCGCACTCGCACGCGGCCCACCCGGCGACCAACCCCGCGACCTGCCCCACGAGCCGCCCCGCGCCCGCCCCCCTCGCTCTTACCCGCCATTGCGGGGCGCTGCGTGCGGATCCAGCGGCCCTTCTACGGGGCCATCACTGCTCCAGTCTCAGTCTCAAGTCTCCCATGTTATGGCCCTATTTTCTGCTTCCTGCTGCAACTTCTCACCGACCGCGCGCGCGGGAGAGAGCCCCAAACCAACATGTTGCTGTCCCCGAATCGCGTTGCCTGAATTCCTGCGGGGCCGTGGGACACATAATTCGCCGGCCCAACGGGCCAGAGGCGTGCTAAGATCTCCGGTAACTGGTTAACAATATTTCTAGTTCGCGCGCGCGGAGCGGCCCCTGGGGGCCCCTGGACGAAAAGTACCCCGGCAAGGTCCCGGGAGAAGCCACCAGAGCACTCCAGGTGAGGGCCATGTTTCGACACTCCTCACGAGGATCGTGGCCTCCGAGGGGGGAGCCGCAATCGACTACCCCCCCTCCCAGGCCCCCAAGAGCCCCCCCAAGAGGCCCTGGGGGCCCCCAAGACGCCGCCAAGGAGCTCAAAGAGACTCCCAAGAGGTCCCCAAGAGGCCCTCAAGAGGGCTCCAGGGCCGGCGGCATGAGCGAAGCGAGCAAATAAAAATACATGAGACTCGCGCCCCCGAGGCCACGACCCGTCGCAGATTACACCACATTCGCGTCCCCGAGGCCATGACCCCTTGTCATTTATACAATATTCGCGTTTCCGAGCACACAATCCCTTACAAGTTGCGCTGTATTCGCGCTGCCGAGACCACGACCCCGAGCAAATCAAACCATATTCGCGCCCCCAAGCCAATATCCTTCATATGGTACATGTTTCTAGCGTCCCCTTGGCTGCATTCGCGTCTTCGAGGTCACGACCCCCCGTGAATCACGCAATGCTCGCGTTCCCGAAATAACGGTCCGTTGCAGATTGTACATATCCGCGTCCCCGAGGCAACGATCTCTCGCAAAGTATACTGAATTCGCGTTCCCGAGGCCACCATCATTCGCAAGTTACGCCAGATCCCCGTAGCCGAGCTCACAATCCATGATAAATCGTGCCACGTTCGCGCCCTCGAGGTTTCGATCCCTTGTAAATTGCATCATGTCGGCGTCCCCGATTTTTTCCACCGTGCGAATCAATTGTAGGGGGCCACACGCGAACCCTACCCCTACCCCCCACGATTTCCGAGGGGGAGGGTGGGGTTCACTTCGCTCGGGAGCTCCCGAACGAGGTGAACCCCACCCTCCCCCTCAGAAATCGTGGGGGGTCGGGGTAAGGTTCGCATGCGGCCCCCTAACTCCTTACGCGCGATCCTCTCAGCCGAAACAGCTTTCACGGTCTTACCGCCAGACTGGGCACAAAACTGCTTCACCAATTTTAAAGGCCGGCTGCGCCGCACCGGCCCGGTGACATTTGCAGCACCTCGCGCGGCGTGGGG